CAGGAATAATGCCACCTGCGTTGAATGAGACAAATGTGGTGTTAATCCCAAAGAAAAATACGCCAGAGAAGGTAACAGATCTGAGACCCATAGCCCTAAGCAATGTCATTTATAGGGTGATGGCAAAGATGATGACACTAAGAATGAAACCCCTGATGGAGGGTATCATTTCGGATTCACAGAGTGCGTTTATTCCAAATAGGCTTCTTACTGATAATATTTTGATAGCAGCAGAAGTGGGACATTATCTGAACAGGAAGCAGTGTGGGGCTGTTGGCTGGGGGCTCTCAAGTTGGATAGGGCAAAAGCCTATGACCGTATGGAATGACCTTTCTTGGAAGGAATGCTTAAGGCTCTGGGTTTTAATGACAAATGGCTGAATCTTATTATGATGTGTGTGACCACGATGTCGTATAAATTTTTGATAAATGGTATGAGTACCCAGCCAATCGTACCCACCCGGGGTCTCAGACAGGGAGATCCTTTATCCCCATATCTGTTTATTATTTGTGCTGAAGGTCTGTCCTTGTTACTGCAACAAGCGCAAACTAATGGTCTGATTCATGGTTGCAGAGTAGCACGGGGTGCCCCACCAATATCTCATTTATTCTTTGCAGATGATAGCTTGATTTTCTTTAGGGTAAACCATCAGGAGGCAACTCAGAGTACAAATTGTTTAGCTATATATGAGAGTTTATCTGAACAAATGGTTAATTATCATAAGTGTAGTATCTGCTATAGCAGGAATACAGGTGAAGGAGACAGAGATGATGCTGCGCAGATTTTGGGAGTGGTCCAGGCACCTAATTTTGGGAAATATCTGGGCTTACCACCATTTGTGGGAAGGAATAAAAGGGGGGCCTTTGCCTATATTGAGGATAAAATCAGGCAAAGGATTGGATCATAGAGCAAGAAACTACTGATACAGGCGGGAAATGAGGTATTTTTGAAAAGTGTGGTTCAGGCAATGCCTACCTTTTCTATGGGTGTCTTTCTATTACCCAGTACTACCTGTACATCTATTGAGAGAACAATGAACCGCTACTGGTGGGGTTCAGGCACAGACAGGGGGAATACACTGGAAAGCATGAGATAAGTTATGCATCCCTAAGAAATAGGGAGGTTTGGGTTTTAAGGATCTGAGAGCATTTAATTTGTCAATGTTGGGTAAACAGGCATGGAGGTTGCTTACTGAACCTGACTCATTAGTGGCTCGTGTATATAAAGTCAGATATTACCCTAATGAGTCTTTTTACGAGGCAGGCATGGGGAATAATCCTAGCTATTGTTGGCGCAGTATTATGACAGCAAAGGAGCTAGTTTGTGGTGGGGTAAGGCGACGAATTGGGAATGGAAACACTACCTTAGTATGGGAGCACCCCTGGCTACAGGATGATTTAGACCCGATGATCCAAACTGAAATGCCACCACAGTTAGCTGGAACTAGAGTCGTGGGTCTCTATTTCAGTTTATCTATAAATACAACCACATTGGTTGACCTTCAAAAAAAAAAGTTAATGTCACCCCTACATATGCAGTGAGGTAACTATTTTGGTCTATCTTGTCATGGGACTATGGGAGCAGTTAGTTCTGTTTTAAATTTTTTCAGCACATATACTGGTCATCAAAGTTTTTAAAAAACGATAATTAAAATATATAAAAATATAAAATACACTAAACACCATTAATCATCTAACAAATATCAAATTTTTTTTTTCTATACAAAGGGCCATAAAAAATTCATAGAGAATACCACTAGATAAAAGAGTCAAATAAGCCTCTAAATTTTATTTGAAAAGTCAATTAGACCCTTAAATATTTAGAAATTACAGTTAAACTCATTAACATGTTATATTGAAGCAATGAAATGAAAAAAAAAAAATTCGTAAATGACCTGCTACTACATGTCATTAGTGTTTTAGCACCAATCCAACCATCTCATGTGACAATCCAGCATCTCTGGCAACTAAGACCGGCCTTGCCTTCTACTGGAGAAACTGAATAAACTTAAATATATGAAAAACTTGATCTCGTAGCAGCAGAAGCAAAATCATTGTTGACCTCCAACCATAGTTGATATCTTCTCGTGTTGCGTTGCCTCTTAAATGGCAGACTTGTAGAGTAATGTTAGTCGTTTTTGTCTCATACTTGACGCAAAATCCTAGATGATGTATTGATATTATTCTGAGCAGCATGACTACCGTAAACTAAAGGTGTTATATAATGTATATGTCCTATACCCCATCAATATAGACTTTATATTAAACACATAGTCTGGTTAATTAACTAACAACTTCTAGTTATTATTCAGTCCAACAAAACAACTTTATAAGCCTAGATAACTTGTACAACTTAATTTAAGGTCCTAATATATAATATATTATACAGAAAAATCTTACAGATACAATGTATCGTGTTAATTTGTATCATGTATGGGTTTAAAAGGTTTTATTTTTATGTGATGAGCTAAACATGTAGTCACTATTCAATAGTGTTTGAATAACCCATGTTTATTTGTAAGTTGTAATAATAACTCACAAATCATACAAGAGAAGTAAACCGCATTAAAAAGACTAAGTGTGATAAGGTCAACTAATAGGGTAATCATACAAGAGAAGTAACTAAGTGTGATCCCCACACTGGGGTTTGAACTTGAGACCTCTTATTTGAGATAACCATAGCTATGTCGCTTAACTACAAGGTCTTTGATTATTTTTATTTGTTATTTTATTATTATTATTATTATTATTATTATTATTATTATATTTATAATAATATAAAATGCAAGTGGGACCACTTTCGGAAGTGAAAGAATATTACAGGAATGTAGAGAAAATAGTAAAGGATTTACAAATTTGATGATTTGAAGTGGGATCTAGTTTTGAAAGTAAAAGAGTATTGCAGAGATAATGATTGCCTTATAATTTTAGATGTATATATTTATTCGTTTACAATTTTACTTCTAGATCAGTAAATCATAAATAAGAGATAATATTAAGTATACACATGATATATATATATATATATATATATATATATAGTCTGGATCAAGTGAGGACGTATGGACGTGAGAACTAATCCTAAAGATTGATCTAGTATATATAATAATTGAAAATAAATAAAATTTTATAATATCTATGAAAATGACCCGCTTATTTTTAACTTAATTTGCCATCCGATCCAACCAATAATAAATTGACAAATCACCATCTTAATGTGTAGTAAGTAAACTCAAGTCATTGATGTTATTTTTATTTTTATTTTTATGTGATGAGTTAAACATGTAGTCATTATTCAAGAGTATTTGAATAAACCATGTTTATTTGTAATAATAACTCACAAATCATACAAAAGAAGTAAATCGCATTAGAAAGATTAAGCGTAATAAAGTCAACTAATAGGGTAGTCGTACAATTTTTAACATTTAAGAAGTCATTTATTTGCTTTTTTTTTTTTTATTTCAAGATTTTTTTTGTGAGGAATAATTTCAAGAATCTAATTTCATTATTAGAACAAATAAGATAACGGATAATTGTACAATTTTTAACATTTATGAAGTCATTTATTTGTTTTTTTTTTTTTTTTTTTTTTTTTTTTTAAATTTCAAGAATCTAATTTCACTATTAGAACAAATAAGAGAACTTATTTCATTATTGCAAGCTTGCTATACCAATTACTGAGGCACAAAGAGTCAATGCCGGCAAATTATGTTGTGGATTTGTGTCCATAATGCATTATGGATACGAGTCCAAAATGACGTCGTTTTCAGGGAAAACGACGACATTCCAGTTAAAAAAAATTGATTTTGTCGCCATTAATGGCGTTATTGGTTTGTGAAATTATAAATGTACAGTTATGGAATTATGAATGTACAGTTATGGAATTATGAACACAGAGCTCTGACATTATGAACTTACAATTATGAACATATAGTGATAAAATTATGAACATAGAGCTCTAAAATTGTGAACATAGAGCTTCAAAAAGTATGAATGTACAGTTATGGAATTATGAACACAGAGCTCTGACATTATGAACATACAGTGATAAAATTATGAACATAGAGCTTCAAAAATTATGAATTTACAGTTATTGAATTATGAATGTACAGTTACAGAATTATGAATGTACAGTTATGGAAGTATGAAGTACAGTTATGAAATTATGAACACAGAGCTCTGACATTATGAACATATAGTGATAAAATTATGAACATATGCTCCTATAATGAAGCGGTCTGAAATTTTTAAAAAAAATGGTGGAAGATAACAGTGTCACTAACGGCACCGTTACCGTGTCCACAATGTATGCTGGACACGGGTCCATAGCATAACGATTGGTCAATGCCCCCACACTGGGGTTCAAACTTGAGACATCTCATTTGAGAGAGCCACAGCTATGTCCCTCAACCACAAGGTCTTTGGTTATTTTTATTTGTTATTTTATTATTAATTTATTATTATATTTATAATATTCTCTCACTTTTGAAAGTGAGAGAATATTGTAGGGATGTAGAGAAAATAGGAAAGAACTTACAAATTTGATGATTTGGAAGTGAGATCTACTTTTGAAAGTGAGAGAGTATTGCAGAGATATGATTGCCTTATAATTTTAGATGTATATATTTAATCGTTTACGATTTTATTTTAGATCAGTAAATCATGAATAAGAGATAATATTTTTTTTTGAATGCTACTGACTCTATTACAATGTAGTATCTGTTCATAACTACTTTCTCAACCTACTGAAACACAAAGAATTATATATATAGTCCGGATAAGGTGAGGAGGTATGGACGTAAAAACTAATCTAGAAGATTGATCTAGTATGTCTAATGATTGAAAATAAATAAAACTTTATACTATTTATGAAAATGATCCGCTCATTTTTAACTTAATTTGCCATCCGATCCAACCAATAATAAATTGACAAATCACCATCTTAATGTGTAGTAAGTAAACTCAAGTCATTGATGTTATTTAATTTTGCAGACACTAAAATACAAAGATCGAAAAAGAAAGTTTTTCTATTTCTTAAAACATTGACAATTTCGTGCCTTACATTACATCTTTATTCCCTATCATCACCAACCAACAAGGAAGCTAAGACCAGAAAAAAAAAAACATCAGTTATCTTACATCATTTTTTTTGCAACCCACAAATGGCGAAAAGCAAGTTGGCTATAACTTATACTTAAATCCTATCTTCAAAGACGGCCAATTTATTTATAATGGATAATTAGGTGCGAACTCACCCTGCGAACCTGCGAACTACTGAAGGATTGCACCATAATACTATATGATTGTGCTGCACTGGATTCGATTGCATTGCAAAAGTCCTACAGGCATGTCTGGTAGCTGTTATGGTGTAATCACGTAGTAGTTGCAGTGCAATACATCAATAATTCGCAAGTTACGGTGGGTTCGCACCTGATTAATTGGTTGCTTGAACCAATGGTGAATTCATTGGAGAGTGAGGGGAAGAAATCATGCAATCCTCCAATCCTCGCCGAAAGGACAAGCTGACCTTCAAATTCCTTCTGCACTGTTTCTGCTTCTTTGCAGATGCTGCTGCAGCTGCCTCCATGCCCTTCCACTGAAGCACAGAGGTTCTGATCCTCATCAGAGCCACCCTCATGGTTTCATCGTCCATATTGGCAAAACACACTCGAAACCAACCCGCTTCCTGGCAATGGAATGAACATCCAGGGGACACATTCAGCTTCATTTCATTGATAATCATCTTCCACAGCTCCAATTCTGCGGCAAAAGTTGGTTCCTTAAGGAGGTTTCTCAAGTTCATCCACACAAACAGCCCGCCGTTGCTCTTCAGAGTTTCTATCCCCACTTGGGCTAGTCCTCGCGTGAAGCTCTCGTGCCTCTTCCTTAGCCTCTCCGAGCTTTCAAGAATGAAATTTTCCACGAATTCTTTGTCTGATAGCATTGCAGCAATCAGGTGTTGTGTCTGCGTTGAAACTAACCCGAAACTGGACATTTTTCTGGCGCAGCTCACCACTGCGTCGTTGTAGGAGTAGATTATCCCGACTCTGAATCCTGGGAATCCCAAATCCTTGGAAAGACTATACACGATGTGTATACGGTCAGGATTGCACTGGACTTCCTGGATTATCTGGGCAATGCTGATGAATTCCGGCTGGCTGAAGACCGTGGCGGCGTAGATTTCGTCGCATACTAGGTGAATGTTTTTGTCGTTGACAAAGCGCACGATGTCGTGTAACGTGTCCCGGTCTAAAACAGTGCCGAGTGGATTTGAAGGGTTGTTTATGAGCAATCCTTTGACTCTGATGTTGTCTTCTTGAGCCTTCTTATATGCAGATTCCAGTGCAGTTCTGGTGACTTTGAAGTCATTTGAACTCTCACACACTACTGGGTAAAGCTGTACCCCTGTTCTCCACCTCAAATCTCTATCAAATCTGGAAAAACATAACATTGCCCAATCTTAATTAGCAAGCTTTAATCCAAGAATTCATAATTATTATTAATATTAATGAAATGAAATGAAAAGCTGAATTACCCTGGATAATATGGAGTTGGGACTAAAAATGCTTCGCCGGGATCCACCAAACAGAAGGCCAGTATTTCATGAGCTCCGGTGGCACCTCCGCTCATAACGATCCTATCCGGATCAAATTTCACTGTGTCTCCCCTCACTTTCTCCATGAATCTTGCCACAGCCTGCAGTAAATTAATCATATATATTTTCAGAATTTATGATAAACAGATGAATTAAAAACCCAGCATGAAATATGATGATCCGATCCTTACAGTTCTGAATTCCGGCAATCCATGGTAGTCTTGATAAATAGCAATATCTTTGAACTCTTCTGCCCCTTGGGGCGTACAAATGGAGGCTTTGGGGTTATTCAATACCCAGTTCTTAATCAAATCAAAGCAGAGCTGCAAAACACCAAATTAAGCATATATATGAACATCGATCTTCATTCCATTTCGGGTTGAAAATAAATTAATTAATAAATGAAATGAAAGTTACCTGGTTTTCTGCTAAGCCCATCTGGATAACACCCTGAGGATTATGTTTGGGATGGAAAGGGTTATTATCATAAGCCTTCCAACCATCAAAGTAGGCCGAGTTTTCTCCGTGTCCATCGTTGGTAGCAATTTTGGACAAGATTTGTGTCTGCTGTCTCATCGACTTCAAATCCATATATATGATCTTCAAAGAATTGAAGTGAACTTTTTGTGTATAAGAAGGAGGCCTAATTTATATGCTTTTGGACGAGAGAATAATGTTTTTAGTTTGTGGTTTACAAGGTAGTCTGTGTGGATGAATGATGGAATATAGATCAGAGGGCTTTATATAGAGGTGTTTATGAGTGATGAAGTTTCTATGAACTCCGAAATTGTGTTCTGTACAGCAATTAGAAGATACGGTAGCTGATATGTAGACGTTTACAAAATATGAATACGTATATGGATGGCAGGATGGTCCCCCCATGTTTGATGTTTCCCAGTTCTCATCAGTTTTTAATGTCGTTCTGTAATGTTTCCCAGTCCCCTAATACTTCCAATTGCCCTGCTCTGTGGTGTTTGATCTATGATCTGTTATTTCCATACAAATTATACCATGGACCAGGGTCTACCTTATATCGTAGATTTTAGTATAAAATGACATTCAAAATATGTACATGTTGTCAACATATTATATGATTTTAATTAATATATAATTTTTAGACCAAATTCACAATACAAGATTGAGATGGTACACAGAATAACGTACAATTAATTAGTATTTACATGTGTCCTGACTAAAGCAGCGATTGACACCTTCAGTTTGATCTCATTTTATTGGAATAAGACCATCGAACTCCACCCAATAATGCAATTAGGCCACCAAACTTTAAAAAGTTACAATTGAGTCCCTGAACTAACCAATTCTATTCAATTAGTCCAATTTGTAAGGTTTTCAAGTCGTTAGCAGATCACCCCTTTTCAAAATATATTTTTTAATTATTATTTAAAATAATTATTTAATATTAATAATTAAAAAAAAAAAAAAAACCAGATCGACTCCGCCGGAGGCGAAGAAGGTTTCTTCGTCTCTGGCTGGAGACGAAGAAAAGTTATCTTCGTCTCCATAGCCGGAGGCGAAGAAGTAATCTTCGTCTCTATGACCGGAGACGAAGAGACTCTTCGTCTCCGGCCATGAAGACGAAGAGTTTCTTCGTCTCTCGCCATGGAGACGAAGATAACTTCTTCGTCTCTGGCCGGAGACGAAGGAACCTTCTTCATCTCCGACCAGAGACGAAGAAGTTAACTCCGTCTCCATGGCCGGAGACGAAGAAGGTTTCTTCGTCTCCGGCGGAGACGATATCTTCTTCTTCTTTTTTTTTTTTTAATTTAAATTTTAAATAATATTTTTTAAAAAATATTTTAAATTAGGGGTGACTTGCTAACAACCTGAAAAACCTACAAATTGGACTAATTGAATAGAATTTGTTAGTTCAGGGATCCAATTGTAGCTTTTTAAAGTTTGATGGTCTAATTGCATTATTGGGTGCAGTTTGATGACCTATTTGACCTTTATTCCCATTTTATTTTATTTGTACTCGAACAAGACCTGATATAGTTTATAGTTTAGACGCAAATAAAGTATTTTTAAAAATCCGAATTTAAAGTACAAGTACTATTATAGTTGAAAAGAAAAAGTGAAATATACTCTATTTTATTGTCTCTTTGTTCAGACGTAGGGATGGCAACGGGGCAGGGGTGGGGAGTATACTCCAGTCCCCGACCCCGAAATCCCGACACCGTTCCGTCCCTGTCCCCATTCCCATTACTGACGAGGAATTGCAAATAGTCCGCATTTCCGTCCCCGTGTGAAAATAGATGGGAATAGCCAACAGGGATTCTCCGTCCCCGGACAACTCTTAATCAAAATCTTAAATTAGTGTAATTTTTAATTTCAAAATCTAAAAACCGAAGTCTTAATTTAAAAAATTATATATATATATATATATATATATATATATATATATATATATATATATATATATATATATATATATATATATATATATATATTATTTATAATAATTATTCGGTGACAGAATGGGGCAAGGAGAGGTATCCCTGTCTCCGTTCCCGTTTCTGACATGAAATTACATACATTCCCTGTCCTAGTCTCCGTCACCGTTCTCTAAAATTTTTTTCATCCCTGTTTCCGTCGTAACCGGGAGTAAGGATCCATATCTAGAATAGGCCGGGCGAATTGCCATCTGAATTTGCCATCCCTATTCAGATGGTGTTTGATCGATCTCCTTTATTTAGATTGTAATTGTTTGAAGTTTTAGTAATTACATTTGGAAAAATGTTAAGTATTCCTAAAATTATTACTCACTAAACAATAATGTGGCAAAATGTTTTAATCTTTAATCTTCTATGGTAGAGTGTGGTTGTCTGTTAGTGGTAAAAATACGAGTGTCTAACACAATCCTCTATGGTAGAGTGTGGTTGTCTGTTAGTGGTAAAAATACGAGTGTCTAACACAGTCCTCTTATATATAGTTAGTGGTAAAAATACGAGTGTCTAACCGTGTCTAACACAGTCCTCTTATATATGTTAGTTCTTACTGTCAGCACAATCACACTGGTTAAGTGGTTTGCTCCATTCACATGGGTGGGGATCGAACCCCTAACCTTATGCTTAAGGAATAAGGTGCTAAACCACTACACCAACCATATTGGTTATAGTTTTGTTATATATTGGTTACTAAACCAGTTGAAAAATATAATTACTAAAAATTAAAGGTTATCTAAAGTTCTAAATTAATTAAACTGGTTGAAATCGGAAAAATAACAAAAGAAAAATATGAAAACATAAAAATATCTTTACTAAAAATAAAAAAAGTCAAAGAAATACTAAAAGTGTCCAAAAATAATAGTTTAAAATATTAAATAACAAAAATAATAGTCTGAAACTAAATTTGAAATTGCAATCAAAGATAAAGTATCACCAGGACTATGTGGTCCAATGGTATCCGGGTTGGACTTCCATTTGGAAGATTATAAGTTCGAGCCTCAGTGGAGGCATTATTGGTTCTTTGTGTTTCAGTAGGTTGAGAAAGTATATGAACAGATACTACAATGTAAATGAGCCAGTAACTTTCAAAAAAAAAAAAAACTCTAAATCAATAGTCAATAATAAATTCAAAAGATCAAGATGAAACTCGTTGCGCCGAACATCCTGTGTCTGCTCTGACTGAGAAGGTGACTTTAATTTGGGAGATAACCACAAAATGTCAAAAGAAGAAGCAGAAAACGTAACGCGTGCATAATCAATACGTTGTCTAATGTCAAATCTTTATTTAGGGTGTGTTTGGTTCGCACATAGGAATCAGAATTGGAATGAGTATCAAATACTTGGTACTGGTAATGGATTTTGGTGAAAATATTTAACATGTTTGGTAGTAGGGTGGAATGAGAATGGTTACTAATAATAGTATTTGAGAATGAAACCCTTATTGTATTTGGGTATGAGTTTTTCAATTGATGGGGTATTCGAAACCCATAGTAGTGTTCTAAAACCTATCAACCAAACAACAACAATCACTTTCATACTCATTCCTATGGGTAAAACCCACCAACCAAACACACCCTTAGTGTGCTTCTCATTCCTAATTTTTGGCACAAGGTAACATTAAGGGTGTGTTTGGTTGGTGGGTTTTGCCCATAGGAATGGGTATGAAAGTGATTCTTGTTGTTTGGTTGATAGTTTTTTAGAACACTACTATGGGTTTCGAATACCCCATCTCTTATCTCTTATTATAATAAAGCAACAACTTTCTACCCAAAAAAATTCCCGCTCAAAGCAAACGACGTCACTTTGTATATAAGAGATTAAGGTCGAAACTAAATGCTGTTAACTAATGCTTAACGCGTGATCATTAATTATGCCGCCTACTTTTTTGTTAATATCAACCACAATAAAGCAATTTTAATAGAATTTAAATAGAATTCTATTAATTACAGACTTCTAAAGAGACTGTTTAGATTAAACACTACTTCGAAAATATACATCTCAAATCTAGATAAAATCAATATAAATACAATTATAATAAAGAAACTCAATGATCTAATGTCTGATCCCCATGCGTTTGGAAACTGTAAGGTCGCCCGCTTACATTCATAGTTCCAAGACACATCATAGATTTTGAATTGCAGTTCTCCATTCTATATAAACCGATCACTATGGAGACCTCCACTACCTATTCCACATTTGCTTCAGTTCGTATCACCTGTGAACCAGAGAAAAAGAAACAAATTATTTGCAAGATAACCATGCCAATGTATGTAGCTGTGAAGGATATTGGTCCTCTTGATAGGGAGAAAGCAATCAGAGTAAAATGTGTGCGGTGTTACGAAATCTATGAAAAAGGCTCTATAGAGATTAAGAGTCGAGAAGTTTTGTTTTGTGATGCAGAGGTATGATCTTCCCTTTTTGATATTGTATTCTTCTGTTCACTGTAGATAGATATACCGCCACGTATTTACATGTCTCTAGCAATAATGGATTTCCTTATGGTAGGTTTTTGTTCTATTATTCAAAGCTTGTGTTGATTTTTAATGCCTTTGCTCTACTCAGTTATATGCTCTAGATTAATACATGCACTATAAATAGATTTATAGTCTCTTTTACAGAGATTTATTTTTCACCAAAATCTAGAGTATATACTGTTTTTTATCTAGACTGCTTAAGGTTATTCTTACTCTAAATCTAGAGTCTATACAGTTTTTTTGTCTACACTGTTTAAGGTTAATCTTATGCTAATGTTGCAGGGCTCTTTCATCCATTTGAACCTCCAAAGTAATGATGTCAAAAAATACAACAATGTTTTCCAAGAAGGGAAGCTGTATTCAGTCAAAAATTTTGTTGTTTTCACCCATTATTATATGTACAAAACTTGTGATCACAAATATATGATCAGGCTAAACTCTAAGACTCAGGTAAAGGCCATAAAATCCAAAGGTTTCCCTACTAAGATGTTCCAGCTTAAAAGTTTTGACTCTTTGAAAGACCCTACTCAGGTGAATGACAAGGTGCTGTTTGGTAAGTAAGCTGTTTTTAATTTTGCTCATTTTGTCTACTGTGTAAGATGTTTCTACTTCAAGACTTTTTGAATTCTGCTCATGTTGTATACTGTCTAAGCTGTTTTTATTTCAAGAAGTTTTATTCTTCTATTTTGTGATGAAATAGATTTAATAGGCAGAGTTGTAGAGATCCATGCTCCTGTAGACAAAATAATAGGGGGTAGACCAGCCAAACTCCTAGACTTCAAAATGGCTGATAATGAGTAAGTTTCAATTTAAAAAATTGGTACCTATATTTCCAGAGATTATATTTTGTCTAACACACTTTGCTATAGGGGTAATTTCTTGCAGTGCACTGTGTGGGACAGTCATGTTGGTGCCATGCTACCATACTATGATTCAGGTCTTAAAGAACCATTAATTCTGGTTCTTCAGCTATGTCGGGCAAAGGTGGTCAATGGTAAGTTAATATACAGTATTATTCTTTCATTTATTTATATATTTCCATAGTTCATTGCCATCTAACATGCAAAATTAGGTGAAGTCAGAATAACTAGCTGCTATGATGCTACCCAACTCCATTTCAATGCATCTTTCCAAGAATTTGCTGATTTTAGGTTTCAGTAAGTGCCTGGATTTTTTTCCTAAATTATACATTTTATCAACTATTCTACTACACATGAATAAAAATTTGTGTTCACCTGTAGGTTAAATGCTTCAACCAGTCCTTTACGAAGTATAAGTACTGCAACAGTGCTGTCCCAATCCACATGCATTGATGATTTTACAAGTGGTGCCTTGACTGTAACTACAGTCAAGGAGCTATTGAAAAAGACAAAGGTTAGTCCCTATTTGTAATCAATGTAGTCTGTATAGATTTAATAACATAGATTACATTACATAAGAAATAGTAACAAAGGAATCTATATACAATTGCAGAATGGTGAATTTTATGTACCTGCTGAAATTGTTGCAATTGACGGTTCTTTTGGATGGATGTACATATCTTGCATGTCCCCGGGATGTAACAGGAAACTTTTTAATGATGGGACTGATCTTGAATGTACAAGTTGTGATAAGAAATACAAACAGGGTATGGCCAGGTACCGTGTAAGAGTGATTGTCCTAGATAAAGGTCTTGGAGACGCTCCGTTCCTATTATGGGATAGGGAGTGTTCTGAATTGGTTGGTATCCCGGCACACATTCTGTACACAAAGTATAATAAGGTAAAAAACTGTCGCTTAATTGACACATCCATATAGACCTTTTTTTAGTTTCTTTTTTAATATTACATTTTCTTAATGTTAGGTTTGTGACATCCCAAAAGAGTTGGAATCATTAGTCGGAATGAGAATGGTATTCAAGATATCATTAAAATTGGAGTACATGAAGGGATCTAATGCAGCATACACTGTTATGAAAGTTCTAAGGGATGAAGCCTTGGTGTCAGCATACTGTTCTAAACTCATTGAAGAACAAGACAAGGACTTGATATCAAGAATGATAGATGAGGACGAGGAGGAAGAAGATGAGTCTGATCAGGTTTTGTTTTCTATTCTACTAAAGTCAAATAACTAATCTCATTTCTTAACTTACTTTGACATATTTTACATTTAAGCTTATTTTAATATACAGGAAGCTTCAAATGGAGGGAATGAGGTCAACAGCCCATTACCTATGCAACAGTCTCAAAGCCTAGACCATGAAACTTTAGAGGCTGATGGTGTTAAGCGATCTCTTATGGACCAATTCTCCTCCTCTTGCAAGAAGGGCAAAACAGTTGCTGTTAAGCAAGAGAAGATTTAAGAGATCCTTTAAATGACAAACTGTTACCACATTTTTGTGGTTGTTCCTATTTTGAAGACAAACATTTGGCCAGTTTAATTGCACCAGTGTGCCCTGAACAATTTACTTTTAATTTGAATCTATGTTTGGACTGTTTGGAACTGTTATATTTACCTATACCTAGGACTTATCCTAAACACTTCTAATTATCTGCTTATTACCCTATACTGTTCTATATATTAAACTGTATGCAGGACAAGTAACCAAGGAAGAAAACACAAGTCACCAAGGAAGAAAGCACAAGTCACCAAGGAAGAAAACACAAGTCACCAAGGAAGAAAACTGTAGACAACAAGGCAGAAAACACAAGTCACCCAAACACTCATGTAATTTAATTAGGGTTCTATGTAGTGTAATTAGGACTCTATGTAATGTAATTAGGACTGTATGTAATTACAATGCTAAATATGCAGATTTAGCTTTCAATATTGACAATCAGTTATAAAAAAGAGCCCTGCAAGCACTGTTAGTATATCAAGCAATCATTTAGGCATCAAAAAAGTATAAGCAAACAGTCTTAATTTATGGGAGTATTCTGCATCTTTAAATAAAGATTGTTGTTAAAACACCCATGTCTATTTTAAAACACTTAAAAAATGTGGTAAAACACTTAGGACATTTTGTTAACACAGTAACACCTCACATAGATAATAAAACACTTCCTGACTTAAAGACCACAATTAAGCTGCTATGATAATAACAGATTTTCATAAAAAACATCATTTGACATACTCTAATTCAAAATGGACTAATTTGAACTGTGTGCACAATTTTGGTGATAAAAGTTCCACATATATAGGTTAAGTTCAAATTGTGCACTGGAAATTTGTATTCAGTGGAGTTTTGAAAATACAGTAACCAAAAATAAATGATTTTTTAAGAATAATGTGGTAAGTATAATTTAGTTTACATTATTGTAACTACATTTAAAATAGAACTATGTTTAATCTACAAATTAGAGGTGAATTAAAGAAAAAAAATATTCATGTGTATTGAAAAATCATAAACAGGGATATTTAAAATTTGGTTGAGACTGAGGAATTGCTTACATTAAAAAATGAAACTGCTGCTGTAAAAGTACATAATTACATATAATGCCTATTTATAATGAACCCTAAATACGCCATGTAGGAATAAAATTGTTTGCAATACACTACATATGTAATTGAATATTGAATAAATTACTCTATTTTAAACTTAGAACACAAAAGCTAAGTTTAAGGACAAAGAACTACTCATGTTTCGATCAGTAATCACCAATCATGTTCAGGTAATTCTCCTCAACCAATTCAAAAAATCTATAAACAATTCGATGAAAAATGTAACTTCATCAATTGTGAACACATAAAAACAAAAATTCTGTCACAAAATAGAATAAACAAATAACAAATAAAACAAACTTAGTCCTAAAAAAATGATGCTTGGATGAAACATTGGCAGAGAATATGGATGAAACAAATAGCCCTTTATTTACTATACTCTTTAATCCTGTAAGTTGTTACCACATTGGCAGAGAATAAACGAAATGGCTATTTGTTAAACTAAGAGCCATGTAAAGTTTATAGACTGAAAAGCCACTAAGTTGTAGTTGAAATGGATTGGCATCAGAAGTGTTAATTCATCATTTGCCACACACTTAAAAAAACTGTTAGTCACAATTTATATAGAAAAATAAACACAAACTTAAAGCCAGGGGAACATGTATATTAAATTCTATAGAAAAATAAACACAAACTTAAAGCCAGGGGAACATGTATATTAAATTCTATAAAAACTACTTTCATTTGTTGGTTTCCAATAAAAAATGAAGAGTCATATCATTGCTTTTAATCATTCCTATTAAAGTGCAATCTTAAAGGCAATAAACCATATAACACCATAACCTATTTGAATCCAAGTATTTGTATTGGAAACCAAATACCAACAACAGAGTGGAACATACAAAATATCAACTCAAACATGAGGAAAATAGTGAAGTCTACAATAATTGGAAGCAAAAGGAAGCACATGATCGACAATAAAGGTACCATAAACACATATTCAAACTGTAGTTTATACTTTACCTGACTGTCTCAGTTAATTGCATAAATATCCCTGTTTTTTACCAAATCTTAGAGATTCAAGAATGCTTAGCTTCCAACCTTTGTAGTTTAGATATACAAAGAAAACCTGCAAATCTGTCATTTCAGCAGCGCAATGTTGTTAGTATATAATCTGAAACACATACTTGGTAGCAAATAATCCACTAAATCACTTATCTTTCATTGGATTGCGAAAAAATATACTGTAATTTCCATCTATGTCCATGAACTGTGTACGGTGTCTACAGTGTTCTATATCTACAATTACCAAACAAAATTAGCTTTAATCTATAATCAAATACGAAATAAATTAGGGTGTTAAAGCTTACAGACCTTAGATCGGATATAGTGGAATAGGTATGCCGTGAAGATCTAGATCATCGATCACCGTTGTAACCTTCAAAAAACTGCCATCCGACTATAAAAACGCAGATCGGAGAATACTACCATAGATCCTCTCACAACCACACCGCGGATCTGTAATTTGTGTTTCATTACTGTGGGTAATCTACTCTTAGCTTGGATGAACAGTTCCAGTCATTTTGAGATCTTCTACGAATTAACGAAGATCTACAAACTGGAATGGCAGACTCTTGGCTTGGAGTATCGGAATTGCGGTGGGTTTGTCTGAACATTGTGAGAGATAAGGGTGGGTAGTGTTCTCTAGATGCTAGCTCTAAGAAGGTTGCGGAGATGAGGGTTCAAGAAATGCCACCTAAGTGTAGAATACCCGATTTGGAAGTGAAGTTATGCAAACACATAGTGGGCCGGGTTTGGGCTTTTAATTTCTAATTGTTAAAATAAGCCTGGTATGATCTGTTGTGGTAGAATGGGCTTTTATTTTTTGGATAGCAATGGGCTTGGTCTGAAATAGTTAGAAGTTAAGGTATGCAAAAATTATTTTCCATGTTTAGTTTGTGGGTAGTGGTCCACAATATTGTGTGAACCATTGGTCCATGATGGTCTATTTTAAATTTGTGCACAATATGTTCAATTTTTTGTTATTTCTGTACTTAAGTTATATTATTTTTGGACATTATAATAAGAGATACTTTATTATGTCCCTTGAATCTTTTTAATGCAGAATATGATGAGAATTCGCCTGTTATAAGCACTCACAACCGTATTTTGAAAAAAACTGCCACAAATTTAGCCACAAACTTAACACCACAACAAACAGGTACTTCAAATGCGACACCAAGAAGTTGTCTAACAACAGGTAAACGCTTTACACTTCTTGGATTTATATATCTGTATATCCTTCGGTATAATACACTATATAGAAATGTTTGTTGAACCTCCGAATTATTTTGTTGCAGTTAATCAAGATAATTTTAATATATGTATGAGTAGTTGTTACATGGAGTATACAAAAGCTAATAGCAACTCCAGACATTTTGTATTAGGCGGCAAATCTCCATATTTATCAAGTACAACAACACCTACATTGACCGGTTAGTTAATCTTGTGCATATAAATTGTATGTTATTTGTTTGGTATCAAAACTCTAATATCATTATTGACAAAATGATATACATTTAATTTGTCATAAAAGGTATAGTAACTAGGTCGGAGGTCAGACGGTCACCTCTACAGGATGTATCAAACGGTATGTATTTTCCCGTTTGTTTTAACTTTGTAATGTTAATTTTTAGGTGGCAGGACTCTTACTTATACTTTAAATAAATTAGGTACAAGACAATGCAACAAGAGGCCATTCATGAATGATGGAAAAGACCATAGTCAAGATAATGAGGTCAATCGCGATTTGTTTCAAGATTTTGAAGAAGTATGCACTACTAATCGCATAACTCCGGTGCAAGAGGAATATAGTTGTGGTAAGTTCAATATCCACTAACATGTGTAAAAATATGTGCTTTACAATCTTAAGAGGCCATTGTATGTAGTTAGTTGTTTAACTACAGTTAGTTTTTTATTCTTATTTTAGAAGGATTGGTTGGAATTGAGCAGCAAACTATACAACAGATTCCTAATGGTAATTGATTTATTATTACCTAGCTTCTGTCAATTAAAAATTTATTCAGTTGTACATTATTATTTAACTAACTAATGTATCCATGTAGTTGAATACAAAGATCTTGGGGATGCAAATAACACCTGTCAACATTGTGGAGCTCTATTTTGGTACGACGAGCGGATCAACAAAACAGTTGTTTACGGCATGCCAAAATATTCAATGTGTTGCAACAGTGGTAAGATCAAATTGCCACCAACCATGAGGCCACCGAATGCAATTTACAATTTGTTTTTTGGAGAA